GACTCGACTCAACCTGATGCTACTGGAATGGAAACTCTTATTTACCGGGTGCCTTCTCCTTTTTGGGTGCTAAGACCCAAAGGGGATAAAATAGTGGCGCTTTGACTCGTGGACACGATAGTTCGGTGAGCGGTCCCGGCTAGGGCATAACAAGTGCTCTCGCTCTCCAGAGCAAACTACCGAGATTCCCAGTCATTTCCTTTCTGACTCCAGTAGTAGAGAGCTCGCATCAAGAATGGGGCACTTAACTACTTCACTCAGAAATGCTAACCCCTTTCTATTTTTTATTTAGGAAAAACTGTTGTTTCCAGGTCGAGTGACTCTAGACAGACCTAGCCCTTCTTTGGAGGAAAAGAATTTAACCTAGAAGAATTAGTCTGGACTGAAATCCCTTCACCATCCCATCAAAGAAGATGGGTATCTCCTTGGCACTAGTTGGGTTGGATTGGTTGATGTCAGAGAAGTGGAAGGTTCAGACTTGGAGAAAGAATCGAGGATAGCCTTTTCTCTCTCTGCTGGACTGGAAGTCGAGTTCTGTCTGACCGTCCTTCCCCTTTCGATAAAGTGGCATTCTTCTCCTTTGGCGGCTTCCACTCAACTGAGCTCCCTGAAGTCGAAAAAACTTCCTTGGTTGATGGCATTGAATGAGCCAAATCCCGATAGTCAAAACTCACGTAATCGTAATAAGAAGAGCTGGTTGATCCTTGCGCCCTCCTCCTTCGCTTCTTCGAAGTGGCAGAACCAATCAATTCCATTCTATGCCGGTTTTCGTTCAGCCGCTCTGATTCCTTGCCTAACCCGTAACCCGACCTGGCCACAGGAATAAAGTATGTCTTTCCCACAGTGCGGTTGAAGTAGGTCAGTTCCTTTCTTCTCGTCTACCATGACTGCTAGTCAAAGCTCTGAGAACGGGTAACCCCGTGTTGAGTTCCCTTCTTGCCCTCATCTCCTTTGATCCCGGACTCCATGAGAAAAGGGTAGAACTCATGCTTTGAGTTTGCTGACTTGATTGATCAAGTCTGTCCTGTCTTCTTTCTTGCTTGATTGCTGTCTTCTTTATTATCTTTGATCTGGAAGTAACCTTTTTCTTTCCTTGGGCAGTCTCTCTCAACAAGATTGATCTGTTTGGATTTTGGTCCATGATGGCCTTTTTATTGATTTTGACGATTGGATTTCTCTATGAATGGAAAAGGGGTGCTTTGGATTGGGAGTAATCACTAGTGATAGGGCGGGGGAGAGGACAAGGTCAAGAGCGATGCCTACATTAAATCAATTGATTCGTCATGGTAGAGAAGAAAAACGGCGCACGGACCGTACTCGAGCTTTGGATCAATGTCCCCAGAAGCAAGGAGTATGCCTGCGTGTTTCAACGAGAACACCGAAAAAACCTAATTCAGCTCTACGTAAGATAGCCAAAGTACGGTTGAGCAATCGACATGATATATTTGCTCACATTCCAGGCGAAGGTCATAATTTGCAGGAACATTCTATGGTCTTAATAAGAGGAGGTAGAGTAAAAGATTCGCCAGGTGTGAAATCCCATTGTATTCGAGGAGTCAAGGATTTGCTGGGAATTCCGGATCGAAGAAGAGGCAGATCAAAATATGGTGCGGAAAAACCCAAATCGATATGAATGGAAAAGGGGTGCTTTGGATTGGGAGTAATCACTAGTGATAGGGCGGGGGGAGGACAAGGTCAAGAGCGATGCCTACTTTGTTTTTTCAATCTAGAATTGAGACTACTATCCGTATCGAGCTGCTTTACACCCAGAACCATGCCGATTGTTTTTTCATTTTTTTTTGTATTATTTTTATAATCTTTTTACTTTATTTAAAAATAAAATTTCATATGATGAAAGGAAACAATCGGGTTGGTTGGCACGGTGCCTCCACTTCACGCGGGCCAGGGCCCGCCCAGTCTGGTGCTCCGGAGGACGATGACCCAGAAAAGGTGCGTCTTCGGAAAGACATTCGTAAGGCTCTGGAGAAGCTTCTTAAGAAGTATTGTTTGCGCTATTGTAGTGGCATGGGGTTCTGTGGTAAGTATTGCTCCCGGGGCAGAACTAATTTTCATTTCTTGGGAGCGGCAGAGGCAAGATCCCTATATGTTGATAGATACCCGAGAGACTGAGTCCTTTCCTTAAGGCATGCCCTCTTACTGCTTGAGAAGAAGAGGAATAAGCCCAAGACTGGGAAGCTCTAAACTCGTTAACAGAATCTGTAGCGGGCAAAGGAGTAAGATCGAATCCACCTTTCTTATTTCCCACGCCCGAGTGAGTGGTTATGCTTGAATCTGTCTCATTTGAGGATGCCTTTGTTCTACCTCTTGACTTGGTTGCAGATTGACATTGACAAGAGAAGAAGACCTTTCAAGCAAGTTCCTTAATAGGAAAGTCACATTACATTAGGATTGCCGTGGGATACAGAGGTGCTTTTAGGACTCAAAGTAACGATCCTTCTCCTGTTGGGGAATTCTTTTGAAGACAATCGCTCTTGCTTCCCCGGTGCTCTAGCTTTAAGGATGCCCACTCATCCGGACAAGCCTTTCTATTTAGCCGTGCTTAGCTACACGGCTTAGCCGACCTTACTAAGACAGGCTTACCAACACTCTGAGCTCGATCCGCTCTTCGAACACATAGCCCGCCTGAAGAGGCTTGGGGTAATTACATTTCCTTTAGATATTCGTGCTAAGGTTAAAACCAAGTAAGAGGTTTTTGCCCTTACCAATAGGATGCATACCGGCAATCGCTTACAAATCCAGGGCAGACTAGAATAGAAAGCACATACATACGAAAAAAATGTTTGTTTCCAGAGCACCTACTAAACATACATATCGGCACACAAACTATATGTTGATCGCAGGTTGTTATTGACAAATAGAACTGCTGCTGGCACTTTCCTTTTATTCTGACCGAGTGTCGATCGCTCCTTTGACTGGGCAAGATCTGACGATTCCTGCCCAAGAAGGCAGGTTACGAATTCAGATTAGCTACTGCCAAAGAGTCAAACCTTTTTTTCTTTCTTCTTTTCAAGCAAATCAGCCTTTTCAACTTGCTCCTTCTCCTTTGGCGCAAAACCAATCTGTTGCCTTTTCGAGTGCTCCCAAAAGTATTCAAAACAACGGCTCAAAGTCTTCCAATTTCATTACAGCCATGTCAAGCATCACATTATTCAGTTGATCCTAGATGTCTTTTAGGTCAATCTCTACCGATCCCATCTTCTACTCCTCTGTTGAGGAATCGGTTTCTTCTTAAATTAAAGCCAAACAAACTAGTCTGTTCCCTAGTCACCTCACTTTTTTGGTCCCGAAATCATTTTCAAATCGCACGTTCATATCGCTTTTCGTTCATTTTCGCCACGCCAACATAGCCATCAAAATAAGAAGCAGGCGAAGCAGCTAGAAGCTGACGCTTCTAGCCCTTTCATTATTCTTATTCACGAATGAATTGGGAAAGCCAACAGAAAGATTCGATTCTGACTTCGTGGAGCCGGTGCTGCTGTTGCCTGCGCGTAGGGCCGTCTTCCACTCCCGTCCCGGGGCGCTAAGGGGCTTTTGTTTTTGGAACAAACGGCAGTCTTTTGCTGACGCCTCGAATCAAGCTTTTATTGCGACATGCTATGTTTTCTCCCCTATTGCTAGTAGGTTGATGGGTCGCACGCCCGGCACACATGTTTTGGCCTTGTGTGTCCATAACTCAAAATAGGTGACCTAACGGCCGCCGCCCGACTAAACATACCAATAGTCACCAGATTCATATGGGCTACTGAGGAGTAAGCAATGATCTTCTTAAGATCGATCTGTCTTGAAGTGGTCAAGGAAGTATATATTATAGCAATCGCGCTTGGAGTATAAATGAAAGGAGTGGAAAAAAGTGTCGCTTCGGGAAACATGGGTATTGAAAATCTTAAAAAGCCGTAGGTTCCCAATTTTAAAGGAATTCCTGCCAAGATGACGGATCCTGCCGTAGGTGCCTCTACATGAGCTTCGGGTAACCAAATATGAACTGGTACCATAGGCACTTTGACGGCGAAAGAGGCGAAAGAAGCAATCCATAGAAAGATTTGGCGCCGCTCACTAAATTCTGTGGTTAATGATATTTGTAAATCGGTGGTTCCTGTTTGGAGAAGAATCAAGAGAATAGCTAATAGCATAAAAACAGATCCAAGTAAAGTATAAAGGAAAAACTGATATGCTGCCTTGATCTTTCTTTGTCTCGAACCCCATACCCCTATAATAATGGTAGAGTAAGGGGTGGCCCCAAAGCGGAATTGACCGGTGGTGGTTGGTCGAAGCTCCAGTAGGTAGCCACTCCCTTCTCAGGGAACCGTACGTGAGACTTCCGCATCATACGGCTCTGTCCCGAGCTTCCGTCGTCGGCCCTTGTCATTAGACCACTATCTATGCATGTATTTTCAGCCTGGGACTCTCGAATCTTTTGCTTCTCGGGTGGTGGCGAACAATGCAGCTTGCGTTGCGGGAGATGCCTGCCCGTAGGGCCCGGCCTGCTTCTCGCCCGAAAGAACCGCTCACTAGCTAGCCGAACTAGTGGGGCCCTATCTGGAGACATACTGAAAACCATGCCTTTCGAACCGAACGCAAGGCCCGTCTTCCAAATCAAAAGAGAAATGGGCTCGTTGGGAAGAAAGATAGAGTGCGGCCTGTAGAGCACATGTAACGCACAGTCGGGTTGTTCACGCAGGGGATCTCTCTCTATCTATAGATAGAGAGAGGGAGATGTGAAAGTAATAGCCTTCTGTTTTGGTCGCCCCCCGACTTACGGCCTTTACGCTACTACTACTGTGATGTGAGCGGTTCAAATGAGTTTGATCTTTCCCAATTTTCCTGGCCGGAACTTGTACGCAGCACTTATACGTAGGTGCATGCATAAAGGTTTGGAACTCTTTTCTTATCTGAATCTTAAAGACAGGACCCTAATTCTCGAACCCTCTGCCGAGCCCCGCCCCCGCATTCCCTTTTGAAGGGGGCCAAAGAAAGGTCTCCACCTGTTGCCAACAGTCTTTCTTCGGAATTATACTGAACGGGTCGATCCTCACCTCTCCTTTGTTTTAGCAACTTATCCTAAGGTCTCCTCGCCAAGAACTCCCCGGCGACGACAGAGGAACCAACCCGCCTGCTGTGGCGGGGCGGCTTTTTTCTTTCACAATAAGACCTGGACGATTATCCCTACCCTCGGTAGCTTACGAGTTTACGTCCATCCCTGGTCGGGTACAGTTTCCTTTCGATTTCTCCCTTGTAGCCGTTACCCGAATTCGCGCAAGTGTGTCCACACCCCCCAAACTGACTTGACGAGGAATCCATTCTCGCGAACAAACACAACCCCTACACACACCTAGGAGCACCCCTTCCTGCATATCCATACAAGACCCGAGTAGGCAGGTCGAGGTCCTACGAGGTACCCACTACTCGGAGTACCTTCCCAAAAGGAAAAAGATGTGTCTGTCAGGTTCGGTTATTCTTTGTTGGGTTGGGCGAGTTCGACCAGAAATGCTATGCTTACACACAAGACTACCCCTCTTACCGAAAGCTTCGCGGCGACTACTTTACGACGACGGACGACCGCCCGTAGGGGGTTTACTGCACAAGGCCCCTGCAGAGGAAAAGCTTTATCCCAGCGAATAGAAGATGCTCAGCTCCGCACAACATAGGGATTAGTACGCTTTCGGGAAGAACATAGAATAGTAGAAGATCCAGCATGCGGAACACGGCGATCATTAGAAATTCACGAATTAGAGATGCTGTAATATACTCTTTCCCATAACTTCTCATACCAGACCAACCCACTAAAATGCAAATAGGGATCAGAAATGTGGTCAATATCACGAAGAATAAAGAGATACCGTCTATACCCAAATAAAAATGGATGTTCTCATAAGGAAGCCATCGAAGGCTTTCCACAAATTGAGATTTGGCCGTAGAAGGATCGAATTGTATCCGAGGAGCAGGGGAATACAAAAAAGTAATAAGAGAGGCACACAGACCAATCAATCGTATCGGTCGTATTCTTGAATTTGGAATGAAAAGAGGAGTAATGCTTCCTAGCACGGGACAAAGAATAGGACCACTTAGATCAGAATAGCATTCACAGAAATGTTCTAACATAGAGTAGAATCGAAGATTGAAGAGATTAGTTGACAACAGTAAAAAGATAGGCGCCTAATTCCAATACAATAGGGGTCTATCAGTGCAAGTCAGCTGAAGACCGTGATTGATGAGTGGGTAGGTGGCTTAGGTCCACCTCTCGCCCAGTGGGAAGTAATGAGGCTAGTCTCCCCCTGAATGAAGAAGTAGTGGGCCCCCTTCCCTTCGGCCCTTTATTTAGATTCTTTCTATTTTTAAATTCTTTATCCAATTTATATTAAATAAAAATCTCTCTAGCAAAAGGCAATTCGTCGACTAGTCGACCTTGCCTTTTTTCAGGTAGCTACGCCTATTCAGCTAGTGGGGCGTTGGTCATAACCGAAATTCGTCGTCGAAGAAATAAAAAAAAAGAAGAGGGGACCGAAGGTAGGAAGTTTTGTCTTTCTTTCAATCCAAATAAGAGAACAAAGAAACCACTCAAAAAGAAAAGTTAGATAAAGAAGTTTCAGTAAGAACTAGCACTATACTTATTCCCCCCTTTTTACTTTTCCTCTCTCTCTTTGTGCTTCCACCCGGGCTTTTCATTCTGTTTTATAGAGAGACCCAAGGAAATTAAAAAAGAAATTTTTGTAGAAAGGTGAGGCACTTTACCCGGCATACGAAAAAAATCCAGGATGACGGCTTTCAAAAGACGAGTAAGGACGGGGAGGCTCTCGAAACCAAACGAGACTAGAAGGAACATGGGAACTAGCACCATTCCTATAAGTGCTTTTGTCTCGAAGAGCCAACAAAGGGGCAGCCCTCTCTCTCTATCTTGGTCTCGGTTTAGCATCATCATATATCGATCTGGAGAAAATTTGGATTGGTTGTAGTGTGGATTAAAGAGCAGTTCCTCCATGCTGTGGAGGTGGAAAAAAATCCCTTGGGGGAAGTATCCCCATTTTTTGACGGGCCTGCCGAATCCTGAAAAATGGGTTCTTGGGAAAGCGTGGTGGGGGAGGTGCGAAGCCTGATAGAGGCAGAAGCCGGGCCACCGGAGCTATCTAGTCGAGTGTGTCGATTGAAAGAGGAGGGGAGACAACTCAAATGCCAGCGAAAAAATAGAAGGAGTCGTGCCGTTCAAAGTTGAATTCTTCTAAGATCCATTGCTCGATTTTGCATGCTCTGCTCCCAAAATGCATAGAGACTTGCGAGGGCAGATCCGGGTTGGTTCAAAAAGTCATGATGAGAGAAGCAGGCTAAGTTAAATATAATAATATACTGGTGCTACTATAGAATCTTATGAATCGCGCGCGGCACACTTTCTATATCTCCTCTGTCTACAAGGTGAACAGCTTAGCTTACAGCACAGCGTGTTCGCCACCACACTGGCTGGCTGGTGCATTGGCTTTACCGTAAGAGGGCCGAGAGGTATGACCCTTCGATTAGAACGCCCCATATCTCGAGCGTGGCATTTCCTTTTATAAAGTCCGTATAACTTCTAACCAAAAGATTGATTCTTTATGAATCAAGTACCATTCAAAGAGTGCATTGCCTAAGAAGATAAGGGCTTTGTATAGACACCCTTGAGCCATGTTATGTTCGTCGCCCTTGGCTCACCATTATTTCATTCTATTTATTTATGGGTTCTAGCTCCAAAGAACATATACATAGAGCTATGCCGACTTACGTACGTCTAGTTGACACCAAACGATTAGGTATACCACGCCACGTATCGTCCCCTCTTTCCATAGAGGAGAGAGAAAAGATATAGTGATCGTGCCGTAAGACCTTGTTCGTTTCTACTTGACTTCCTCGGTTTTTTTTATTTTACATTAAATTACATAAGGTGCTAGCTTACTTAGCGCTTGCGCTAAGGATCTAATCAGAGTCAAACTTGGATTTGAAAAAAAACCTTTCCCTTATTAGCTGTACTCCGGCTAATAAGCTCCTTGATCTTTAGTAAAGGCGGATTAAGCCAAAAAAAAAACATTTTTTTTTCGAAAAGTCTCAACGTCCTCGTTGAGAGTCGTTCTGCGAGACGTCCAGTAGTCTCTGACTTGGTCGTCGAATCGTAAGTTTCAGCCCGCTCCCTGCTCGCTCTAGCTGCCTGCAAGCGGCTGCTTCCATGGCGTGCTTTCCCCTGTATGTAATTGATAGAGGTTTGCGATAAAAGAGCCCCTGCTGGTGGGCAAATGGGGTATGCTTTCTAGTTCAAAAACGGGCCCCCTATTCCGGGTACACCATCAGACCGTCCAACATAAACTCCTTGACCTTGCGATCTCGTAAGCCTATCAATGCGAAAAGCTTAACGACCTAGGATCACGGCCTTTACTGACATCCAGGGTTGACTTCTCAAGGGTGGAACTCTTGGAAGTTCTGGAATAGACCTCTCTGACGGTAGTTTCGTAGCCTGAGAAAAGTGCTGCGAAGCGCAAGAGCGTATCGAGAGAGGATATTTAGAGTGTAGTGGTCTATGCTGGAACCATCTTCTTCCTTTACTGCAAGCTAGTGACTGAGCCCAAAGCGGAGAGGAAGCAGAAAGAAAAATCTTATCGCTGAGTAGTGAGGCCGCTTAACCCAGTGAAAGAAAGAGGATCGGAGTGAAGCTTCTTTTCCCAAGAGGTTCAGAAGCGGAAAGAGAAGGGGGAACGGTCAAAATTGACAGATATGGGGATGGATCACAGCCCCCTTCATTAAGCACTGGGCTTTCGCTGATAGCACCGACATCTAATTGAATGGATTAGGGATTTGTCTCAGCTCACATTCTCTCATCGGGATCAGAGTTCCTTTGAGGCCAAGAGCTCACATCGACGGGAAGGTTTGGCACCTCGATGTCGGCTCTTCGCCACCTGGGGCTGTAGTATGTTCCAAGGGTTGGGCTGTTCGCCCATTAAAGCGGTACGTGAGGCTGGGTTCAGAACGTCGTGAGACAGTTCGGTCCATATCCGGTGTGGGCGTTAGAGCATTGAGAGGACCTTCCCCTAGTACGAGAGGACCGGGAAGGACGCACCCCTGGAGTACCAGTTATTGTGCCCACGGTAAACGCTGGGTAGCCAAGTGCGGAGCGGATAACTGCTGAAAGCATCTAAGTAGTAAGCCCACCCCAAGATGAGTGCTCTCCTATTCCGACTTCCCCAGAGCCTCCGGTAGCACAGCCGAGACAGCGACGGGTTCTCTGCCCCTGCGGGGATGGAGCGACAGAAGTTTTGAGAATTCAAGAGAAGGTCACGGCGAGACGAGCCGTTTATCATTACGATAGGTGTCAAGTGGAAGTGCAGTGATGTATGCAGCTGAGGCATCCTAACAGACCGGCAGACTTGAACCTTGTTCCTACATGACCCGATCAATTCGATCAGGTACTCGCCATCTATTTTTATTGTTCAACTCTTTGACAACATGAAAAAAAAACCAAAAGCTCTGCCCTTCCATCACTTGGATCGATAGAAAGTCCAAGAAACCCTTGCACGTAAAACTTCTCCTTGGGACGGCTACCGAGGTCCTAGGCCAGGGTCTTAATAAAGTAACTTGGACAAAAAGAAAGGAAGTGACTTAGACAAATCTTTTTTGTCGATAACCTCAGACCAATCAATCGAATATTGATTAATACGTAATCGATCGAACACTACTTGAAAAAGAAAACGGCTCTTCTGCTCAGAAATGAAATGTTCCTGGAAATTCTTGCTCCCATTAGACCATTTGTATCTATATGAATTAGGATCCCAATTCATGGATCTCTCGGTTCGAGAAAGAAAAATAAGAGGATCGAACCATTTCTTCTGACTCTGTTTCAAATTCGATAAATGTTGGTTGATCGTATATTTCATTATAGTTCTATGATTCAGAGTATCATTTCCTATTTGATCCTTTTGAATTCCATATTCGAAGTTGCGACCGGATCTATTCATTAAAAAGAATTGATTCAATACATTTCTTATGTACCCATAGGTGCTATATTGGATTTGAATCAGATTTCGGATCAATCCATATTGATTGACTGCCTCCATTATGTTGTTGCTAGCAAATACCACTCTTTTTTGTTTTGGATCTTCCAAATCATTCCCGCAGGAGATCCGGACCCATTTTTTTCTGATCCTTCGATAAAAAGATTCATTCTCTTCATAAAAAATAGGAGGTAGAACCAATAAAGATTTCTTTTTCGATTCATCCCTGGCCTCATTCAAGAATTGTTTTTGATCCAATCCGTAGGTAAAAAAGGCAAATCCCTTATGATACACCAGATCCGGCTCGGTTATTGATAGAGTGAATAGATCTGCCATTTCTTGAAATCTCTCTTCTGATTCAAAATCGTGGTGTAACGTGTATCCCCCCCGTTTCGATCATGGAATAGATGAAATAAATCAAAAAATGGATTTTTGTTCAAGAAAGAAAGCTTATTGGAACTGTCCATATCCAGTTCATCCTTCAGAACCATATCACATCCCGGATCTGATGAAATAGGATGAATTGAGACGGTATTTTGTAAATACGTAATTGTCTTGAATATATTAACTATTTCTTTATTTTCCGATCGCCTGGAAGGGACAAAAGAAACATCTTGTTCTTTCTTCAACTCTGGTTTGCTTCTCCTCTTGCTAATCAGTAGCCTGCCTTCTAGGGCAAATTTCCTAAATTAAACAAAGCGCTAATCTCCGCTCCGCACCTCTATTGCTATCCTGCCCTGCCTGTCTTTCTCCAAGTGGAGTTGCCAATACCAAGCCGGTTTCAAGCAAAGTCAAGGAACCATTCTCAAGTAGGCCGCTTTCAGTCCTCTCTCTCTCTGCTCATTGATTCATTGCCCATCTGAGATGAGAAGGAATCCAGGACAGTCAATCCTTCCCGTCCAAGACTTTTTGCTTGGTCCGATAATACAGGGTGTGAAAGGACGAGCTTAGATCTCGGTCGCAGGCTCCCAATCGCTTCGCTCGTCCTTTCTCGAAAGTCTCTTTTTTCTGGGCCAGGCTGACATCTCTAAATAATCTCCTTTGGGCGCCTTCGGGCACGGGAAGGAGTGAAATGAGATCATGCAAGGCGAGCAGTGAGAGCAAGAAATCGAATCTGCTCCTTCGACAGCGATAGCCCAGTCGTTGACGGAAGAGAAGAGGAGCCGATCTAGCCTTTTTTATTGGTGCAGGAGCTCCGCTCTTACATGTACTACCTTTATTCGACTCGTGATTGTAACCCGGTTCCTCACGCTGCCCCTTTGCTATTAGCTATTGGTCGAGTGTGATCAGCAGCCCCTTTCATTTCATCTTTTGAAGAGACTCACTTCTCTTTCTATTACGGCATTTTCCCTTCGCTTCATGGCGATTCAAGAAGGCTAGCGAGATGTTTAACTCATGTGCCAAAGGAATCCCATTATTTGATTGAAAGAGAAGGGCTTATAGGATCTCATGCATTAATTAGCAGTTTCGGGAGGTAGAGAGAGCGCCTAAATGCCTTATTGTTCACGAACAAGCAAGTCAAAGCTACATCCCTTTTCCACGCCCCGGTTCATATCGCTTGTGACAAGTGATGCATCGTCACAACTCTTTTTGGAAGACGAGATTCAGAAGGGGAGTCTTTGACCTCCCAACTTTGCTTTCTGGGAAGGAAAGAAGGCTCATTTGGTGATAAGGCGCTTCCCGTGCTTCCTGTAAGTGGGTTGAGTCCATTGCCTCCATTGTCTCGTACGAGAATGGAGTAAGGACCTTCCCTTCTTTCACCAGAAGTCGAAGGCTAAGTCACCTGCTCTAAAGCCTACTCGGATTGGGTATCATATCAATTCTCAAACTCTTATTTGGTTAGCAGAAAACGTGAGTTTTCATGTCCTAATAGGCCCATGAACAGTACTTAACGTGACTTTCTGTCTACTAAAGTTAGGAGGATAGCCATGTTCATATACAGTTCTCAAGGATGAAATGAGAACCAGAGGGCCAAACCAGGTAGTACCTTAGCTGTCCCTTAGCTTTCGAATAAGCTGTCCAGTATTCCAATCCGGTTAGGTTAGCATTCCAAGTCAGTTGAACTCCTTGTTGGGTGAGATGAAGACTAAGGGAAGAAAAGAGGACTCAGGCCCGATCGAGGTTCTCTTCTTTCCTTTTTTCACCATCCCTCTTATGCAATGCTTTCGATTCGTCCCTGAGAAAAGAATAGCCCCGCCGATGGGAAGCCCCATATGGAATGCTCTCTGTACTCTCTTCCTCTCTTTTCCATCATTCCAAGTGGTCCAGCGGTCGCAAGCAGGGGAATGGCTTTCCGGCTAGTCTTTTTATCCTCAAAGCCCTATTCAAAAGCGGAGGTCTAGTCTGATAGTGGTAAAGTGGAAAATTACGTGAATTACGTGAAGTAGTATACCACTATGTGGTCATCTTAGTCGGCTAAGAGCCATTGCTTTCATAAAAAAATTTCAATCGTACGTCTCGTCTCCGTCTATTCTTTGAAGTGGTGAAGGAATGGTCGTCCGTTCATACCCATACTGCCTCTGGCGGGGGACGGCCTCCGTAATGAAATTCGCGCAATTCAATGTCGATTTGCCGATTGATCGACATAGTCAACCTCTTGCATAACAAAAGGAGTTCTTAAAAAGTCGCGTGTCTACGAATATAGTAAGGAGCTGATAGTCGTATTTCGCTTTCATGAGTGAAATCAGATCTTGAAGTGTTGCGGAACGTCTCGATCTGGTCTTGTTGTTTTAGAGTACTTAAGGCTAGATTGTATCCGTAGATGACCGGTCTCGCTTTCAAGAGAATATGCTCTGCGAACAATGGTCTCAAATCGGATCAAATAGATAGATATAGATCCGTGGGAAGTCGATCAGGTCGAATCCACAGAGAAAGATTTATCAGTAGGACTACCTTTCAGTAGATTCGCCGGCAGTAGGACTCTCTTCGAGTGTAGGAGTATAACAGTAGCAGCAGTTATGGCCCCATACCCATGAGCATTGGCGTGAGCAGCTAAGCGTTCCTCAATCGAAAGTCAAATCACCAAGCAAACTAAACAAGCAAAGGAGGGAGAGGAGAAGGCATTTCTTTCTAAAAGCCTTATATGGCGGCATTCATTCCCATTTCCTCGACTCGCATGGGTGGGAAATCGATTGATGAGTCAGTTACTTGACTTGCTTGCCTTTTCGATGACATTGCGGTTTAGGCTTGCCACTAGGCCTGATTCTAAATTTTGAAAGCCCCAAGAAGAGGCTGACTTAAGTGCGAAAAGACTAGAATGAATGCCTACTCAAAAAAGAAATTGGAGGCAACGGGTTGATTGACTTAAATATAGGAATAGACAGTGTTTCATTTCCAGCTTCACTTCAAAGCCTGAATCTCTCTTTCTCACATCTTTAACTATCTGAATATGTTTGGGATCGGGGAATCCAGATATCGATTCACTGCTTCTCTCCAGAGATCTGAATCTAAGGTAAGCTTAAACCTAGAAGAAAGATTCAGATTGTTCTTCCAAGAGTGCATCTGGGGTAAAAACTTCCTTCTGTCTAGCTTCCATCTCTTGCTTGTGCGGTTCAATCTCTGTGAACGAAGATGGTCACTTTGTGGAAAATCATTAGGTATGAATATTGAAGGCAAGCTATCTCCAGAAGGCAATATGTTGTTAATCTTCTTTTCTTCGTCGACTCGAAAGCGAGTGAAGTAAAGAAAATCAATGTCGGAAAATAGTTTATTGTGTGAAATGAGGAGCTTAGGAGGGAAAGGAAAGTTGGCATTTCCTTTTTGACTTCTCTAAGATATTCCCCAGTACTCCGACTACTACTAAAAGAGAGATGAACGTTCAGAATTTTGAAATGAATCTTCATAATGGAAGGAAGAGATTGTTAATCGGAAGGGGAAGATTTTGAGTCCCGCTCGTATGTGAGAAATTCTTTCTCTTGATCTTCTAGGATCTCTTGACTGGGCTTGGTTGACTTCTTTCTGCTCTAGGAGCAAGTCTAACAGCTACCGGTTCATGCAAACTTCTTTCCCTCTTGGCTTGGCTTTGAATTCTTAAGAAGTCCTATTCAAGCACTACTTGTAGATCACACGAGAAAGACGGACTTTTGATCAATTTCCCATCTAGAGCGTCGAACCTAGGAGAAAAGAAAGATTTCTTGAGATTAGGCTTGAGTTTGATTGTAGGGCGTTTAGGAAAGCCGATGCATATGGGAAAATAAGAGGAAAGGGACTCGGATTTCTGGCCGAAGCCATAGATCTTTTTTGGTATGCCTAATTTCAGTGGCGACTAACTTGGAAGAAATTCCTTCAGCTGGTCGAAGGAGCCCTTTCGGGCCACCTCTTTCCATGCTTTCCTTGGAGAGGGTTCGCAAGCATATTCGCTTATTCCGAAGAAGAGATTTTATCTTCTGCCTTCTCACTACTCTTTCTTCATAGTACTTTCAATATATTGAAACAGGAGTCAGAAAGTTAGCACCCCAAAAGTTCTACCCTGGACGTCCAGATACGGTTGCCGGTTCTATATCTCAATCCGTTACGGTAACCGAGCGGTGGAGAGAAGGGAATTCATCGATCCTTTTTCAGGGAAAGCGGGAGGGGGAAGATGGCTTACTAGACAGGGACGAGTTGGCTTAACCGTGGAAGGTACGTTCTAGAACTTTTGGATTCTATCGTAGGTAGTGCTAGATCAGAGGTGGAGAGGACGTAAGCTACTTAGAATGAAGAAGACAGCAGCGATTCAGTCAGGAAGGAAGATTCCCACCAACCCGCTGTTTCGGGATGCCTTCCCATTGTAATTGCCATTTCAGGTCCAAAAAAAAATGCGATCTTTTCCGACAAGTCTTTTTTCATTTAGAAGGAGGCCCCTTTTGCTTTAGCACAGGGCTAGAAGGCTTCAATCTCGACTCAGATGGCTTTTCACTCACGCGATATTCCTCATATGTCAAGGGCTGGTAAGGTTTGATGCATAGGTGGGAAGAGACCTCTCGAGAAATGCAGCTGC